AGCAGGAGAGAAGAGACACCATCCCAAAACACAGGGCTTTCTTAAAATGCAGAATTCATAGTGGGTTACTGAGTAGGAGGGGGCTGTAAGCTGATGTTTAATATTGCTTCTGGTTTATTATCAAGACTCTTACTTATTCAAAATATACCATTTTTATTTTTCCTTTCCTAAACCTTGAAGGTTTTTAAACTCTTGGTATACATCCTGTACATAAAGCACACACACTTCCTGACGAAAGATTTTGCAGTTCACCCGAAAACATAACTAATTCCCAAGGAACACTTCTTTTTGCAGGTGAGCATCACTGATTACGTGGTGTTTGACCAGTGCAGCCTGTTCCAGACGATCATCCAGGCAACCCATACGGTGGCATCGGCCGCTCAGGCACCCGTGGAGAAGGTGGCCGACAAGCTCCGGATGGCGTTTTGGTCACAGCAGCTGCAGTGTCAGCCCAGCCTCCTCGGAGTTAACGGCAGCGGAGTCTGGATCTCGTCAGGCAAAAACGAATTCCATGTGGCAAAAGGAAACTTAGTCGGTTGGTGTGCTTTTAATATTTTTAACTTAAGAAAAATGAATAGGAGAAGGTAACTAACTACAGCTCTGGCACTGCAAAAATTGTCCATGGTGAGACAGGGCAGCTTTAACAAACAATTCCATGTTTAATAGTTAAATGAAATAATTCCTTAGAGTTTAGTCTGAAATACGTTCCCATTTAAAGGGAAATACTTTTCATGGAAAATTCGTTGTCCACCAGTGAACTGTGCACAAGTTTCTCCTTTTAGTACCCACACTCGTCTCTGGTCTGATTCATGATCGGTGTGGCTATGCAAAACAGTGATGTTATGGTTTTAACCATAAAGTTTTAACCATATCACCAAGTGATAAGAAAGGAACTGCTTTGTTTGTTTTTATTGCTATATTCTCAAAACACAATTTTGATTTAATACATTTCTTTGATCAGGTAAACACTAAGAATATACCTACAACATTCTCTGTTTAACCTCGTCACCAAATTCCTGTTGAAGACCCTGAATTTTCTCCCTTCTTTTCCTCTTCTGCATTCCCATTCTCTGTGTGCTCGGTGTATTTGTACCTATGTCTCAGGAGGAGGTTTCCTTTCCCCCCCCCCAACAGTTTCTTGAAAGATTTACATAGAAAACCATGTCTAGATAATATTTAATAATTGATTACAACAGATTTCTTTAAAAGGGTAACATTTTAAACAATAACAAATTCTGATAGAGAGTTAAGTTTCATACTAATACCACTCTGTTCCTTCTCTCAAGGCACTTACTGGAATAATATTGTCCCCCGTGGTACTGCTTCTGCCACTAAATGGATTTTTGTGTTGGCTTCCACAGCTTCATCTAAAGAAGGTTGGTGAATCAACGGTGCAGATACATTCTATCTGATTCTTAAATAGAGTGGAAGTGATGGTGTAAGGAATCAAATGTCCTGAATTAACTCAGATTTTGGCTGTCTTTTCCGTGTGTAGGGATTGAAAATATTTGAGATAAGGTGGAAATATGTCAGTAAAACTACTTTAGTTTGCAGAAGAGGAGACTGAGGGGAGACCTCATTCATGGTTATAAATATCTAAAGGGTGAGTGTCACGAGGATGGAGCCAGGCTCTTCTCGGTGGCAAACAATGATAGGACAAGGGGTAACGGACACAAACTGGAACACAGGAGGTTCCACTTAAATTGGAGAAGAAACTTCTTCTCAGTGAGGGTGACAGAGCCCTGGCCCAGGCTGCCCAGAGAGGTTGTGGAGTCTCCTTCTCTGCAGACATTCAAAACCCGCCTGGACGCCTTCCTGTGCAACCTCATCTGGGTGTTCCTGCTCCGGCAGGGGGATTGGACTGGATGAGCTTTGGAGGTCCCTTCCAATCCCTAACGGTCTGGGATTCTGTGATTAAAAATAGAAGCGTATCATTTGCTTTGCCCTCTTTGATGTGGAGTGGCATCCAACAGGGAAATGAGTAAATCTTTAAAAGCAGTAACTTCCTCGATGAATGAACTGCCAGGATTTGTAATGTAAAATCTTGGGAGTCTGCTTGCTTTTCTGGAATGCCTGTACTAACTGTCAGTGTGGTTATTATTATTTCTGCCATTATTACAGGAAAATCAGAAATTTTATCAGTAAAAATGTGCCCATGCTAAGGAATTCAGCTGCTGCTTACTATAGTCAGCAATTGTGTTATCTAAGTACTCTGGCTTTATCAGCCATAGTATGTGATCTAGAGCTGAAAAAGAATGCTCTTCTTCAAATTATCAGGATAAAGAAGAGCAAAAGAATAAAGGGAAGCGATAGAGAGAAGACATAACAGCACACTCTTAGTTTCTTCAGATGAGATCTTTCTTCACCTGAGACCACTTATTACTTACTTGATTTGAGAAAGGGAGTATTTAGGTGCCTAAATAAGGGCTTAGGATGTGTATTTGTCCTTCAAAATCTTACCCTATGAATGTAGCCAAGAAGCCTGAGTTTTGTCTCCAAATGTACCAATCATTTTTCCAGAAGAAGTAGATGTGTAAGCTTTCTCGGAGTGGATTAGGGACTATTTTAATAACAGAAATGTCCTTTCTGTAGGAAGCTTCCTGTGGCTGTGCCAAAGCAACAAGGATCTGTTCTGTGTCAGCGATCAGAACCCGCAGTTTCGGCCATCTACGGTGCAGCTGCCTCCGGACAGCGAAATGGTGCAGTACTCCGCCTGCCAGGATGCCATCTGGGCCCTGGATAGTCTTGGGCAGATATTTATCCGCACGCTATCACCCAGCTGTCCAACGGGCATGCACTGGACAAAACTGGATCTCTCTCAACTAGGTATGAGATTTTTATTGAGCAGATTATCTCTGAACTCTCAGTGGGCAATCAGTATTGTCCTTCAGAAGTATTGTCCTTCAGAAGTAGCTTTTGGTTTACTGAAGTGGAATATTACATTTACTGGTTTAAATTGTATCTTACAGTGATGATCCTCACAGCAGAGGAACAACTTCCTCCCATCAGGAATAACTCTGGCTTTCAAACAACGTTTCATTTAGCCTTTTGCTGGAGACAGCACGTTTACTATTTGCAAGATACTTTATATGTGTACGTTCTTCTACATAACCATAATCCTGTGGTCCTGGGCAGTTCCATACATGAGGCCCTGAATTTGGTGCTAAATTAATTCTTAACAGAACGGTCAAAGCTTCATTAGGATCCCATCAAGGAAAAATTTATGCTCCAAAGAATTGCATCATCCACAAGTGATGCAGCTGATGCCACTCTTAGGTTCACATGTATGCTGATTTAATGAGTCAGCATAACGTTAACAACTTGCTGCTGGTAGCTGCTCTTTTTATTTGGTTGGGCATCAGACCAAGGTTGTTGACCACGTTTTATCATTACAGTGTCCTCCCAGTTTGGTTCTGGGGTGATCAGGCCACTTGTCAGCTTCAGCAGTAATATTCCAGCTACATTTATTTCTTTGATAGTCTGACTATCTATGTCTAAAATTTGTATCTTCTTCAAGAGAAGGTAAGAGAAATCGGGACTATGCACCATACCCACGTAATTGTGAAAATAATTTAGTCGTTTTGCGATTTTTCCATTTTTCCTGGCAATGTTCCTACCTAGTTTGAGAGCAGACAAGCAGTTTTAACTTCAGGGTTAAGGACGGGCAGATGCAGCTGGCAGACTTTAAACCTTGCATCCAGTTTTAGTATATATACAATTTGTAATACCTCATGGGATACTGCATTGCAAATGTGTCTTTTAAAATCAGTTTGTTCGCCAGTTACACACCAGGTTTGGTTCCAAGTCACTCATCATCCCAGGACTTAAGCCCTGCTTGATGCCTTTTACCTTTGCTGACCCACAGGATAGGTTTGTTTACTCACACTCTCCTTCTCATGTTGCATGGTGGAGTTTAAAACTTTCCTTGTGATACCACTGCTTTCCAGCAGTTCACATAATTCTTTAACTGAAATAATGAGTAACTTCTTGCTGTTGTCTGAATATCTCAAATATGTATATGGTAGATCAGTGCTGACGAGGTTATGAGAGCCTTCATTTGCTCTAACAGGGCCCAAGAAATTGGAGAACTATTGCTGTTATTCAAATGTGTGTTTAGGTTTATTCCTGAAATGTCAGGACTGTAATTTGAGTGGGGGAAAACAAACAAAAAATACCCAAATAAAACATCAGGGAAGTTGCTGTAAGATGCAACTCACAGTTCTGTATGGAAGTGATGGGGTTGCCAGCATTAATGGTGAAACACTCCTATTGTGTTGGTTGTATCTTCCTCTTGCCTTGACACTGTGTACTAGGAGTAAATATGCAGTGAATTATTGTTGATTGGGGTTCCACTGTTGGCATCAAGGTTTCTATACACAGTAAAATGACCTTTAGGTTTCAGCAGTGCACAATGCCTCTGAATCACGCTGCTTTTTTAAGCAGTGGGTGGATGTGGTTAGCGTGACCTTCTCCTAAGATGAAAACAGTAAGAGGGAGAAACCCCAAAACGTTGACACAAGGGCTGCATTTTTGGATATCAAGTTGTGTGGTGGATGTAAATGATACCGGCTGTGTTGGGTAGGTGATACGTGACTCCGTGTTGGAGGGCACCGATGCTCGTTTGGATCAGGACATTTCAGCAGCTGAGCCATCACGTGGCAAAGTCCTTACTCCGAGTCACGCGTTGTTAGAAGGAATAATGAGCTTTTAAATGAGATTTTGACTTTGGAGCTGAATGTCAAGCCCCTGCCTGCAAAACAAAGTTGTTCTTAGCCCAAGCTATAGAAATTTTTCTGTGTATTTTTGTATTTTTTTTTTTAATACGAAGCTGCATGATTAAAGGAAATTTTAGGGTGAGATGAATTAATTCAAAACCCTGTGATTCAGAAAGTTAAATAATTTTGGTTATTGAGAAGTGTTTACTGTGACAGATAACTTAGAGAAAGCTGTGTAGTCCTGCTGTTCTCTGTTACTTTCCCCAGCAAGGGTTAACAACAGGGAATATTACCTTCTGCACTAATAAACTTTAAGCTCTGGGATGTAATTGCACCCCCCTCTGGAAGGAATGCTCCGTCTGATGCACTTTGCAGGGATTTCTTGCCAGATTTCCCATCCCTGAAGAGAGAGCTGTTACCAAGAATGGGATATCCCACGCAGCACTGGCATCTTCAGTCGGCCAGCGAGGATTATTTTGAGCAAGTCGAGTTTGGAGTCTGACCAGAGCATTCCTTCCCGACTATATCTGTCCTGAGCGGGTCCCTCTTTCAGCAAAACATGTTTTCCATTCCTTAGCATTGTGTTGTCCCAGCACTGGGAGGAAAAAAAAAATCAGATATCACATATCTGACATCAGATGGCTATTTGAAAACGCGTGTGGCAGAGTCCCTGTTGGCGGTTCACTCGCAGTTATTTTAGTCTAAAATATCAGGTAGGCTTCTCTGCTATCTTTGTGAGCTTTTAATAGCAAGACTGATGGGTGTGATTTGGTGTGCAAAAAAACACGCCGAAATTCCAAAGCATACTTATTTGGGAGCTTTGTTTTCGCTGCGCTGACTTACACAGGGTGAAACCGCTGCTGGGGTACGTGTAATAAATACGTACACTGTTGAATATAACTGCATTTGAAAACCAGCTCCTTGATTTACAGGTGCGGCGGGGCTGTGGTAACAAATGCCCTCGTGTTTTCCAAGCGCTGCAGCGTCAGGAATGTTCTGTGCTGAATGCATTGGCAGATCAACACCTCGCAAAGCCTGCGAGCATGGGCAGCTACAGGGGAAAGTTCACACTGGGTCATGTGAAAGTTTGTCGAGGCTCTGATAACACTGAATACTTCCCTGCTTGAATTTGCTTATTTTAATAGCCTATTTCCAGCGTGCTTTAGAAACAGCAGTATCCTACGACTAAAACATTTCATTTTTAGATGGAAAAGATAAATACCTCCCATACACTACCTGTTGGGTCTATTCATTGTGTCCTGTGTTTTTATTTCTCTCACAAGCTGTATTAACTTTTAATCGTTTTTATGTGGCTGTGTTTAAGGCCAGTTGAATGCAATCAAGTCTAAATAAAAGCTGTTATTATTAGCTGAATTTGAAAGGGACATGCCAGGTTGCTAATAGTCTCTTTGTTACCAGGTGCTGTAAAGCTGATCGGCCTGACCTGTGGAAATCAGCACGTTTGGGCCTGTGACACCAGCGGTGGCATTTATTTCCGTGTAGGAACTCAACCTCTTAACCCAAGTCTGATGCTTCCTGCGTGGATAATGATCGAGCCGCCTATCCAGGTAAAACGTTGGTTGCAGCTCTTTGTAACCCAGTGGTTTCACTCTGTGCATTTGAGAAAGAATTATTTTAGCACTCGTGGAAGACAACATAGCCAGATTTTAAATGTATAATATACTCTGAGCATGCTTCCTTATCACCATAAGTCATCCCAGATTCATCTGTTAAAAATAACTTTAAATTTATTGGGGTTTTTTTAAGTGAAATGTTTTGTTTTCCTTTCTATCCTTCATGGGAGTTTTCTCCTCTGGTAACACAGCAGCTTTATAGGCACGTAGTAGGCATCCTCAATATACAGGATGGACAAAAATTGTTTCTCCCAAGTCTGCTTTCTTTCTCAATCTTCTTAAACCTCAGTGCTTTCGCTGCTGCTCCGATACACGGCAAGTTGAATTATGCAATGGGTGTAATTTCTGTGTCATGGGCTGGGACTGATGTAACGGGGCTGACCTCTGACTGCTGATTTCATTCTTTGCTCCTTGGCACGAAATCCCTTGAACCCTCTGCTGATGCAGTGGTACTGGGTGTGTTTGCATACTTGATTTTACATAGTTCCTCTGGGCGATTTTGAAACGCGGCACTTTCGAAAGGACGCATGAAGAAATAAAACCCCTGACAGTGGAGTTGCAATGGTTTGTTTGGTTTTTACATCATTCACTTTTAGTTCTGCTTATCTCTCAGCAGCCAATGCTGCTCCTGTGAATCTCAGGGTGCAGCAGCAAAGAAGGGCAGGGAAAAAGGGAAATGAATGATTTGCATCCCATCACTTAGCACAGCGCTGGTTAGACTTGTTCTTCTGTGCTGGGGATGCTGTCAGTCAGGCCTGGAGAAACACTTCACAGAGTAGCAGACAGAAATAAATACCAACATCACTTGCAGCAAGGGCTGGATTACACTGCTCCTTTTTTTGGTGGGTTTTTCTGATGTAATCCATGAGACACAGATTTTTCTTGCTAACAGAGGGAAGGGCAGCAGGAAGAGGAGGCAGAGGATACCGATGGTGATGTCTCCCATAAGGGTAACATTCATAAAAAGCAGGGAAAACACATTTCAGGATGTGTTCCACTTAGACTGAGTTTGGCAAGAGACAGGGAATTAAACTTGTGTAGTATCCTCTTACCAAAGATTTGCCTATCCAGGAAAATAGCCCAAAAAGCTGGTTTTCTATGCTGATTCTATTTGAGCTGTACTCCATCAAAGTAGATATAACAGCTCAATACAAACCTGTTTACAAGAAATTGGGATTTGCTGTGGCTCGTTATTTAGCAGCGACTTCTTTATGCAGAAAGTCTTCATTTCAATGCTGAAAATCAAATTATTTCCTGTTAGCTTATGGAGGAAGCTGGATGATGCTGCCTTCCAAAATGATAACCTCTGATACCCAGAGCAGTGTCCTTCCCTTCCCTGTTATCTTGCCAACACCTGACATTGCAAATTCCACCGGTCGATATGAAAGGGCAAAAATTCAAACATTGCTCGCAGGGGAGACGAAAACTCGTGGGTTATGTGATATTTTTTGAGACAATTCCAGCATGAAACAAGTCATTAAAGTACATTAAAACAAGTCATTAAAGTACATTAAAACAAGTCATTAAAGTACATTAAAACAAGTCATTAAAGGGAGCAGCCATTCATGCTTTTGTGACCAGTATTTGCTGTTATCTGTCCCCTAATTGACTTTGGCACAGTTCGGGCTGCATTGCTTTGTCTCCAGAAAAGAAAAAATATCGTAGGAAGTATTTGTGGACAGTTCAGACAGTTGAAATCAGCAGTGCTTTAAGTCCAGAAGCAGTCTCAAGTAATGTAATTTAAACCCGACTCTGGATCTCTCATTCCCTGGTAAATGTCAGAGCTGCTGTGACTTGTCGTGTCTCAGATCCCATGACTCATGAGCAGCTCCTGTGCAGCTCCAGGATCTTAAGCAGTAGCAGTTGATATCTGTATATTTTCTATGCTTCATCCATTCTGTTCTGCAATCCTAGAAATCAAAATAATGATGTAGTTAAGCAGCTTTTTAGGAGCTACTTTAAGGACATTGACAAAGCTGAGCAACATTTTATTATTGTTTTGTTATTATTATTATTTTTAGTCCAGGGAATAGAAAGCATTGCTTCATTCTATTGCTCATATACAGGATAAAACTATTACCTGCTATAGCAGGCCTCAATGTGCATAAAATTTAATTGAAAAAATAGCAAGAAGTATAAATATCACTCATGTAGATCCTATAGAGCATGTTTCTGCATATGTCATCCTTATGAAGATGTAATGCTTTTCAGATTTCTGGCCTAAATAATAATTTCAAATCAAATATGAGATTAATATAGACAAATTGGGATGATTATGGACTAGAAGCTGATCACATTTCACAATAATCAAATTGCTTTGCAAGGTTCCCAGAAGTCGAGCGCTTTGAAAAGAATAATTTCAACATTTCACCTTTGATTTTTGGTACCTTCAGAAAAAGATGCAGACACAAAGTCTTAATAAACGCTCACTTCCTACACGTGTTGTTTAATGTAGAAGCTGGCCTTGAGGACCACCTTCTCAGACTGACATTAAGGGACCTGTCAGATAAGCAGAACTCGATTTAAGAGGATTGGAGGAAACAAAGATCAGGACGAGGATTTGCAATGAGTCACCACTCATCTATTGCTTGTAAACGATCAGCCTCACTCTACAGATAGACTGAACGTTTTAGTAATGGCTGTTTGCTCAACTGGAGTCATAGAATCATAGAATAATTTAGGTCAGGAAAGGCATTTAGGACCATCAAGTCCAACTGTAACCCTAACGCTGCCAACTCCACCACTGAACCGCGTCCCCAAGTGCCACATCCACACGGTTTGTGAAACCCCCAGGGATGGGGACTCCACCACTGCCCTGGGCAGCCCCTTCCAAATTTAAAAAGCAGTTTTATTACATCGAGAGGATTATTTCAGTATCTGCGTGGCTTGTCCAAACCGTAGAGTAAAAGAGATTTGGAGGAAGGAGGTTGGTTGTGCCTTACGGATGAGCGGTGACTTGTTAGAAATTATTAATATCATGATCTTTATTGCCTTTCCTCCCTTGAAATAAAATTCTGCTTACCTTACAGAACACTCAGTGTAAATCTGGAGCCTTCCTTCCTCTTGCCTTTGCATTTTTCAGTAAGGTTTCTATTGTTATTAAGGGCGGTTTTGTGTTACCTGGTACTTGCAGGAGGAAGCGGTGAGCGCTCCTCAAGATCACATTTCACCTTCAAACCCCTTTTTTGGTAGGTGCCAAAACCAAAGCTGAAATGTAGGAAGGGTTTGTTTGCAATCATCTTTGAGGATTAGATACCGGGAGGGATTTTTCTGTTGAAAATGGTTTGTAACTTTAATTTCAGAATCACCCGTGCTGCTGTCGGAAGGATTTGCTGTGGAAAACTCTGTTCTTTCTAATACATTCATTAAACCTTCTGGTTATCTATAGACAATGTAGATTAACTGGGTTATTGTGCCATGTATTTTTACTTATGTGAGGCCTCCTGAAGACATTAAAAGGGAGCAGATTTTCCTGGAGGACTACATTTTTCAAGATAAGGTAGAGAAAAACCACATGCGGCAGTAGTTGGAGTAGCTGTAGCGAGGTGGGTTGCAAAGAAGTTTAGGAGATCAAAGCTCCCACTTGTTTTAACTGATTTAAAGTGCCATAAAACTTAAGTATTTAAGTTCAGATGTGTACTATTCTTCATAGCCTTTCTTAAATAATCATAAGTTACTTAAAATTTGCTTTAGATGCTGAAAAGATGCAATTCCAGCATCTTTTAAAGCTGCCTCGCGCCAATGCAATTCCTCAGTTCAGTGCTTATTTATCTGCCTTTTTGTTCCCGGTTAAGAAAGCTGCGGTCTCTACAGTTCACTGTAGTTTTCTGCTTTGGAGTTTTACCCTCCTGATACCCGTTTGAAGGCGTTGCTATCGCCACGGTCAGAAAAGCGTGCGTGTTGCCTGTCGCAGCAGATAGCAATAATTATCAGCAGCAGCAGCTTCAGATCACAGAACGTGCACAGAATGAAATACACCCAGAAAACCGAGTGGCTGATCCTTCCCTACCCTTTTCAAATATGATCTCGAGGTGGAATATTTGCTTTTTGACAGGACTGGCTCACACTGAAAACAACAGTTGTCCGTTTTCATTTAATTTGTTTGGTGTTAGGAACATCCTCACATCTGCACTCTGCCAGCGTGCCCGTATTTTGGTGGGCTAACACAGAATTATGTATTTAATTATTTTTCAGGGAGATTGATAAATATATTTAACATTCAGCTGGGTAAAGTAACTGCATTGATCACTGTTGAGATTTGAGAGCTGTACCCTGAGTGCATTTTCAGTGTTCCTGTGGCTTCCAGGATGTGTTTTGCATCCTGAATGGACTGGAACTTTTGGTCAATATTGGTCAATATTTGATTTATTATTACTATTACTACGACTATTACTATTGTTATTACTATTACTATTACTGCTATTATTATTATTATTATTATTATTAT